GTCCCCCGTACCTCGCACCATGGGCACAGGTAAGGTGATTTAAAACGTAGGAGTAGGACTAAACCAGAAGTCCACCTTTGACGCATGGGGCTATAAAGAAAGCGGTTTCCGCAAGGAAGTGTTGGCAGACGGCCGGGAAGGTTCCAGTCACTGCACTGCAAATTCTTCTGCTCAGTAGATCAAAGGCAACATCGCCTTTAAAGCGAACTGATAGGAACACGTCCTTCTTAGGGACAGTTTTAATCACTTCACGGCTATCGCGGATCACTGCATACTTTTTGATGAATGGTGTCGGGTAACTATTATCTTGCAGCATTTTGAGAATACGGCTCTTTTCGGCCTCTAGCGTCTCTTGGCTGCAAATTTTCGTAGCACGAATATGCAAACAGTGGACAAGATTACGTTTGCACCTCAAGGGTACAAAGCTCAGAAAATGTGTATTTTGGCCTACCCATGTGGCCTTCCCGAATACACTTATTTCCAATGAACCCCTGTTTCTACGGATTAGCAACACGTCCAAGAAAGCTAGCTTCCCATCTTTTTCGGTCTCGATAGTGAATTTCAGCGATGGATGAACACCGTTTAACTGGTTTAACAGACTGGAAACATTAGTGTTTGAATCGCATATTATAAACGTATCATACATCTAACGATGATAGAAATCAAATGAAGCGATGATGGGTCGTATAGGTTAGCGCTAAATCAAAGCGAGGGAAATGTCAGCAAGGAGTGGTCCTAGGAGAGAATCCCATTGCGACCGTCAATCTGTCTGTAATAGACTTCAGTAAATACATATTGTCTGTTGAAGGTACACCGTAAAATTAATTCCTTCAGTTCCCCCACCGGAATACGCACATCTATGTTCTTTTCATTCACATAACCACATACAAAATTGACAGTTTCCATCAATGGAGCATTCGTGAGAAGTGACTTAACGTCTACAGCGAGCGTCAGTTTGTTATTTACTTTCGTGCTTTCTACTCGTTTCACAAACTCAAATGTGTCTTACACGGTGTATGTGCATAAATCCTTGCGTACTGGTTCGAGCAATCCCGCAAGCCATTTCGCAACCAAGTGAGTAGCCGAGGCTGACATGTCGATTATCGGACGCAGAGGGACTTGTGGTTTATGTACTTTAGGTAGTCCATGAAGACGTGGAGGATGTGAACCCACTGGCTTTAGCTGTTCCAGTAGCACGCTATCTATTTGGTTCATCCGCTTCAGCTCCTTTAACACGTAAGTGATTTTAAGCTCATCCTGCGTGGTTTTATCTTTCGGCACCGTTCCACCAAAGTACTTACTCTTGTCTAGTAAAATGATCTACATTGCGGAAACCTAGTCGAATTTCCCGTCAGTATTCATCCGAAGCCCTTGTCGGGTCTTGAAATTATCAAATCAGGATTGTACCTTAATTCCTTGTTGGCTTCTCTGTGTTTCTTAGTCAAAACAATAGAAGATTTTGTTTTGTAACTCATATACTGCTGCGACAGATGAACCACAGTGGTCTTCGAAATATCTTTGGCGAGTGACGACGTAGGTGTTAGCTTGTTTAATTGTCACATCAAGTTTTCAAACTGGGTCTCCAGATGAATGTATTCACACTGAAGCTGAGAGAAGCAAAATCTTGGTACGGGTGCTAGTGCTCCAAGTTGTAGCTGACTCGGCTGCAGCCTGGATAGATTGTGGACATATTTTTCTGGATGTGGTGATAACTTACGTTCTGGTGATTGTCAAATCCATCACTTTTGATAAAGTAGGAAGGAGAGTAATAAGTCAGTATTCGGTAGGATCCGACCGCTTAACCCATGTATATCAGGATGATAATTCCATCTTTCTAATCAGATGACAATGGGAGTCAAGCGGAACATGGAAAACAGCTACAAGAGCTGATGCTATGTTGAGGACAAGAATTTTAGGAGCCTTTAGACAGATCTTGTCGATTCCCTGAACATTGTTTTCTTGGATAGACTGTAATTTGCTTGCAACAGCTGTTGTGGCAAAAGAGACGCTGGATAAACAGATGACATTTCCTGGGAAGTGAGATGGCGTAGGTTCCATCGTGTTTGTAGCCATTAAACTAAACTGTAGAAGTAGAGCATTCGCGGTATCTACAGAAGTAGTCGTTAGGTCACTGGCTGTCTGAAACGGTGGTATTCCAGTCCTATTCGCATACCAGCAAAGTAGTATGGTATTGATAGAAACATTATAGTGTTGCTCATCCCAACACTGGCACCCGAAGACCGCGGTTTCGTCCTGGTTGGGACTCATCAGTTCAAGATAGCCTGAGCTAGGTTGGAACTCAGAGCCTAGTGGCTCATGGTTGACACCGTAAGCACTATGCCACTGAGATCCACGAGCAACGCTTGGTCCAGCGGAAACGAATGCATAGTTGGGCTTGGAGAATCCGCTGGTGGTTGGGTTGCTACAAGCAACCTCTATTGAGGCCTCGGTTCACTTGAGGTGGACCTCGGACATTCGGATCAAAAAGACCGTAAGTAAAATAGAAACATTATAGTGTTGCTCATCCCAACACTGGCACCCGAAGACCGCGGTTTCGTCCTGGTTGGGACTCATCAGTTCGAGATAGCCTGAGCTGGGTTGGAACTCAGAGCCTAGTGGCTCATGGTTGACACCATAAGCACTATGCCACTGAGATCCACGAGCAACGCTTTAGTATGGTATTGCTAGCTGTGGTACTGTCGTGAAATCCAAACACTTGCAAACTTGTATACCATGGTCACTACAACTCGCACTTGTCGGCTCTAATGAGTGATGTGCAGTAGTTCTGACTGCTTCGTAATGCTTCTGCGCTATTAGAAGGGGTTAGTGTACGTTGCCTCCAAATCCCATCTCTTTTGCTGATGTGTTTACGCGTTCTGCTTCGGATCTACATGCTTGTCCGGTGCAATACGCGTATTGGTACAACTTCAAAGGATGCTTGTACGACCCAGTTACTTTACTTTTTAATTCATTTCATGTGTCGTTCTCCGAATTGTGCAGCTGGAGGCCCCAGTCAACTGTTTTCGCTAGATTATTAAGCTTGTAACGGTCAGTAATAGTTCGTCAAGGTTACTGTCCTTTACCAACAACCCTGATGTTCATCAAGGGCATTTCAAAAGTTGTCGATTTGAACTTCTTGCTTTTGCCGACGTTGTCAAAATAAGGCGATCGAATAATTGCAATGAAGATCACAATTTATTTCGTGACACAGATTGTGTTCATGAGTTGTCAACCCGAGGTGGTTCGTGTACGTCATCAGAAAGTAGACGTATATAAACATTAAAGCTACATGCGACAGAAAGTTCTCCAGAACCGGAAACTTGAGGTGCTGGTTCAAGATAACCTCAGATGCATGAAAAAATCAAAAAGGGACGTAACCAATAGAACATAGTGGCATCATGCGAAAGCCTTTGGTCGATTTAACCCATAAATTCTTCTACAAATACCTAGCGTTTATTCCCAACTCCAAGCGGGATGTGTCACTCAGAGGATAGTACTGCCTATCTGCTCTCGAGGCTTCGTGGCTAGGGGCACCTATAAATGTCAACGGATCTTTCTATCAACAGTAAATTTCTAGACTAAAATCCATCGGAATGTATATAAGTTGGTATCAGGGATTTCGGGGAAAGAACTTCATAGCGGCTTACCAAGTCTTGAAGAACCCCGATTAGGTTTACCGCCCCATTCAGGAAATCCATCATATTACGAAAACGAAGGCTTATCAGATGAAGTTAACAGCACAGTATAGCTGGCTGAAATATCGTCGAAACTTCTTTTCCGTTAGTATGGTAACCGTATGGTAACCGTTAGTCTTGCCCACACTTTAACGAAATTAACCTCTTCGTACACAAGCAAGAATCTTGATCTAACAAATTGCTGTTTCAATTGATAGTGATAATCTAGATTTCTTAACGTAGTGAAGGAAGGATTTTGTTCTTCCATTGTCAATTATGCAAATGAAATTTGTACGCAAAATTTGAAAACAAATGTTTATACGTGTGCACATATGTACAGATTGTGTACGAAGGAGTTAAAACGCCATGGTGACGCATTGTGCCACCTGTACTTCTCTATATAACGTGTGTTTATCAGGAGGCTAAATACTGCAAACGCATCCGCTTTTTTCAAGTTCTAACCAGGTGGACTTATTAAAAATTACCATAAAACTTTCCCGGCGAGTTCATCAGCAGGCACTTAAATTTAATGGGCCAATCTCTTTATTCTCATTATTTCCATCGCAACCACCGTATGGAACTTGTGAAGCATTGCTTTTTATCATGTATATACCACCTTTCTATTATTCGCTGAGAAAATGCCTCACTCTCAGAATTTAGGCTAACACGCTAGTGCAGGAATTATAAACAGTTACGCTGGTTTGGTAAGGGGACACTGCTGCTCATCAGAAAAGCCTACTTCATCAGTGGTTGGTCTATGCAAAATGCACAAATGACAAAATATTCGTTTGACAGCCAAGCGGGGATAATGGACTGGCCAAACCCGTGTATTGCCATGGCACAATACACTGTCTATGGGGTCAGGGGGTCATGTACGGAGAGGACCAACTTCTTGTTTGAAACCAAATGAAGTCACTTATTTATTAGCATCCAATTTCGTAAATCAAAGGTAGACGGTAGGGTAGAAATGAAAAATATACTGAAAGTCTCTGCTAATGTAGCCATCTTAGTGATAAGAAGGTTTGCATGTATTTGTCAAGGCTATGCAAAATATATAATCAAGTAGACCGTGATTTTATTAAAAAATACTGGCCCGGTTTTGGCTGCAATCGGAGGTAATTGGAACCAAACACTAAAATTGGTTGGTTAATGTCGAAATCCATACGTTGTGACAGTTTACACAACGCATGTGGAAACAGCACTGAACCTCTCACTTAGATTGCTATAAATAAGGCAGGAGCGAAATATCCATTACATCAATGAACCAACATCAGCTAACAGTTTCAGGATAATTTTCATTATGAAAGCTATCGGATATTCTAAGAATTAACTCACTCGTTCAGCTTCATGTAAGTTTGTATAGGCGGAGAACAATTTCTCTCGCGTCCGCTCCGATTCTGCCCTGCGCTTCAGGCACATAGCCAAAATTGTCGTCACCAACAAAATGAGGAGAATCACTGCGACAGCAACTCCAATAAGAATGCGGTCTCGTAATTCTTTCGCTGATCGGCCAGAGAGTTTGGAGAACTGCTGTGAGTCCAAACACATGCCATGAAACATATGAGGCTTGTCGTCCGGACAGGACGAGTTGCAAACGAACTGGAACGGACGACAGAACAGGAAATCCCTGACTGAGATGCATAAGTTCAGCACATTCTTTAGGAAACGAATCTGGTCAGGCAAGGTCGGTGACTTTAAACCATGGGTAGGCATTGAGTTTGGGTTAACTGGCACTTCGTATATAAAGCTAGTTTACAGATTACCTAGAATGCGGGTGTCCAAGCTACTTGTGTCCAAATGAGTCATGTTCTCTTAGTAGTTAAGGTCAAATTAAAAGGTGCAATAACAGTTCGCTTCATCTCTTTAGAAGTTCCAACATATTGTCAGCATATATTTGAGGTGAAATCCCACTTACATCACACTGTACTGATGGATTTGGCCACAGACGACAAAATATATGATTCTGTCGACTGCGTCTCATGTAACAGTCTTGACAAAGAGCACAACAAATAGGCCGCAGCGAATTCCTTTGATTTAGAGATAGTCATTTCCCCAATTTAGCAGCTGATTTTCATGAAAATGGGTTCACGGCGAAGAAGGTGAAATTCAAACTGGAGTCCAACAAAACCAAGAGTCATTCCTTTCGCTCCGAATGACAAAATAAATCCATCGATCTTAGTTGACAAATTCGGTAACCATATCTCCCATTTACTATTTTTGTACGATTGCACTCAACAAGATGATTTACGAGGGTAATTTGATTTCAAGAAGGCATTGGTTAAGCTTTATCACAGCAAGTATTTAACAAATGACAAACGCGCGTTTCTTACAGGCGTTGATAGTCACTACATGAAGCACCGGTCCCCAGGAGGTATGAATGAAATGGATGCAGCATTATGCACCTATGATAGCTAACCAAGCAAGAAGTCAGAATATGAGAGTAACTTTAGCTTGGAACAATGTTGGGTCGATGTACACAATTCCTCAGACGGAAATGCACGAAGCAGTGGATGCACAAGAGGTTTGTGAATGGGTCTAGCTCGAGAGCCATCCCAGATGCCATCCCAAATGTCACCTTAACGGTAAAATTATCCTGCCCAACTTCTTGCATTAAATCTTGATGCATGGGAGTCAACTGTAAAGGGGAGGTGCGCCTTCGCAAGAACTAGCTGAGATAGCTCAGAGAACAGGATGAGTCAGTGAGATATATTGCAGTGTAAATTACTCGGCTGAAAGCAGTGTGTGTGCGTGCATGTGTGAAAAGTACCGTTTCGTTCGACAACCCCAATAAATCTGATGGATAGCTAGGTAGGACTAACTGTCAATTTAACTTATGAATTAAACAACCAAACTAACTCAGTGTTCGGGTATCCGTTGAATGCAAGCACTTAAGAGAGGATAAATTGCAGGATGCCATAAGGGACAGACTACTTTCTTTGTTTTGTTTCTTTTGCGTGGGATGTATAACGACAAAAAGATGTTCCACAATCAACACAGCTGAACTTCATGGAAAAAGCGAGTGTAAAAGCATTCACAGATAACAGCAGGTCTTCTTCACTTGGGTATCAATCGAGCAGTAGACTGTTCTATTTTTTAAACAACGATGTGAGGAGAAGAAAGTTGGCAGATGTTAAGATTTCGTATTGTCTCCTCAGTGCCAATACAATAACAGAAAAATATATATAACAACAGCTAGGGTGTGACCGGATAAAATTGAGACAGGGTTGGCTACAGATATTCCACCCCTACGTCCATGGGAGCCTTAAGCTTACAAACAACTGTTTTTGCACACAGAGTGCCGGTTTGATCCTGCTGATCGCGAAAGCCTCGGCGAAATGTAAAATTCGGGTGTTAGCATGCCTCAACAAGATTGTGAACTGTGTGGCACGGTCGAATGGATGACAAGTAGATAATAAATGTCTACCTATGGATGAGGCAGGTGGATTTCGTGAACAGGTGGTAAACGAAGCAGAAGACTGGATAATTTCACGCTGCACCCATTTAGGTAAATGTTTCCTTTCTCTGAAATTCAACATTCTCTCGGTACGGCCTATGTAGCGTGACTCGCAGCTACAAGTGAATTGGTAAATGAAGCGTGAAATGGCGCCGAAAGCTTGTCTTTCCTTCGTTGGGGGAACAGGCACTTTGTTGGTTCGGTTAATAAGGACAGCTTCGGCAGCGAAATAAGGCCTGTGAAAAACGGAAATTAATCGCTTGGTTGTCCTCATGGTGGCAACATTACCTTTAAACGGTAGATCTATAAAGATCTTCTTTTTGGCCACAGTGGGGACCTTTTCTCTCGCCACTCCCGTTTGGCTATGTTTTACGATAAACCGGCAAGCATAACCGTTTTGCAAGAGCGTATTACTCAACCTGTCTCTGTTTTATCCGGTCACATTCTAGCTGTTGTTATATATTTTTTCCTGTTATTGTCTTTACCCTGACGAGGAAATACAAAATGTCAACATCTGCCAGCTTTCGTCTTTTCACAGTGTTGTTTAAAATGCTCAAGGGAACTAATTGTTCTATTTTTATCTACCTGTCCACACACGTTGGACCGAGCACCTGAAGAAGGTGGGTTAGAATTAAGCAAACGCAGCAAAAGAACTGATCCGTTCGAAATTGTAGTGACATGGAACTGTCGGCTTATTAGACTCAGCCCCGTGATGCATCAGGTTATGCAAAGATAAAATTACCACTCTATCATTCAGATGGTCGTAATTCAAATCAAAATGCATCTCACTTGTCGGGAAATACATCAATCTACTTCTTTAGGTGATCTTCGGTCCAAGCTTACTAGAAGGAAAATAATGTTGAACGGTGCGAAACGAATTATTAACTCGGTGACTTCAGCCGTCATAAAGGTCTGTAGATTGCCTTGGTTTGGCTGAATTCGTCGTGAAAAATTATAGCTAAAATTAGCCTCTTATTGCACATCTTGGCGATCGGAGATGAATAGAAATAAGTGTGTTTAATGCGCTTGTTTAAACCGAGCAAAAAGTTGCAACTGTTGCAGTGATTGTCACCCAGGATGAGGATGAGACGTTCGAGCAGATAAGCAGACCCCACCGAAACTGATCAACCACTCTTTCCAAAAGTGACAATTATCCGAAAGCACTTACACACTTAATAGCTCACTGTTTAAGGGCTGGCTGCGTATAGCTAGTAATGATTAAACATTTGCGAATCAATATGAAAATGGTGCTAACAATATTTCTTTCGAAGCCGGAAATAGCTGCGATTCCGGCGCCACCGTGCTGTAAAAGTTTGGCTGTAGATTTTACTACGTAACTGAGTAATCCCTACCTGAGAAAGTGCAAGACAGCTATAGTCCATCTTTAGGCATGTTAATAATGGGTTAACTATTTGCAAAATTCGAACGACTTGTATGCCGTCTGAGAACAACCCAGACTGAGCTGATTCTTGCAACGCGGCTGAACTCCATGCTAGCACACTAGATTTTCAAATGGAAGACGGAATATTTGTGTGTTGAAGATCAAAATAACAGTCCTGATTTGATGAACTATAGATTTGTGTTAAAAGAGCAGTAATACGGACAAAGTACCCGCCAGGAGTGTGTAAATGAAATGCCTCTCCGAAAAAGAGTCGATACTCGTGCCTCTTTCTAACGCATGCAGTTTAGGAGATGAGAAAGCACGAGTTGTAACGTGTGTCACTTGCTGTTGAGTTGGTCGGCTGATGTCAGGTGAGCAAGAGAAAAATGTAAGGACCACTTGGCTAATGAACGCTCTGGTTGCATTTTTACCATCTTAGACGAAAAAGAACGAATTACAACAAGCGATTGCACAAACTGAGAGCAAAATGTACCCGTCCTACTAATAGCTTTGTAGCGCGGTCAGACGGGGCAGCAGGTGTGACCAACCGTGTATTAACTGAGATGACGGCAAACGTTGCTAAACTATTACCAGGATGAAAAACGAGTATAAAAATTGGGACAAAGTGTCACCACTCTGTGCGACTTTTATGAGAACATAGAAACTGGCCAAATAGCGGTGATGTTTATTTTATGACATCAAGGATAGATTGAACACAAAACATGGCTTACAAAAGTGATCTTAAAAACCGGACAATCATGTCCCTGCCAAATTCATTTTTCCACCGGCCCCATGGATAGCGGATGTTTGTCCGTGAAATCGGATAGTGCTACAAGTGAGGTCCGCGGTCAGTCTCAGTCCACTACGCTAAGTAACACAGGCCGTTTTTTGCAAATGATATGAAGTGCATGAACAAAATTGGATAGAAATGCTGTCACAGATTTACGGCTGACAAAGGGCCAGTACTAGGGTCTCCAGCCTAATTTTAAATTGCATCATTCTGTTCGCTAGTACCGGTCACTTCCGATTAGATGCTGGACGGACGAAGCTTTGGCAAACGGTATGCAGCAAAAATCTCTGGGGTCCGATAAAGTGCTTTTGAACCAAGTGTGAAAGATTCACCGCGATTGACTGGAGACCAGTTGTCATTAGCCACGAAGAAAGTAAGATGGGCGCTTCTCCTTTTTGAGACTACAGGCGTGGATCATTTCGAGGACTAACGAAATGCACGACACTTCTCGTTAGAGACAGTGACTAAGGCCGCTAGGAGTGGAGTGATACATGCAACCACTGTGACCACGTAACTCGTTACGATATAGCGCCACCAGGTTTTCAGGGCACTGAAGTGAGGGAGTTTCATCACAGACATGATTGTAATTGTATGCCGTCAAGCAGCTGGAAATGCTATACTCTAGCTTGAGTACTGACTGGGTGATGAATAGCAGTAGAGGAAGACTTTCGGAAGATATCAGAAGGCAATGCATAGAAGAACCCCCCGTCACATTGAGTAATCACCATTGTGCCCGCTTTATAGGTTCTATCCCAGTAGAATATGAATTCAATTAGGCAATCTGATTTCAGGAAGCACCCTGACAAATGTTGAGCCTGCAGAAGCTGAGAGAGAGGATCCGAGCACAATGCAGTTCGGTTTCAATCTACGTCGTCTAGTAAGATGTCTAGCGTTCATCACCTAAACTCGGTTCAATAAGGTGAGCCCCGTCGTCTTCGAGTAGGGAGGCAGATACCTTCTCCAATATTTCTCAT